TTTGTTTATCTTGGTGCCAACATCAGTGGGGATGGTACCATTGACCGAGATCTTGACATCAGGATCCAGCGTGCTAATGGTGCGTTCCATCAGCTTTGGAAGATATGGAACAGTCGAACTATAAGAACGCCCACCAAGATCCGTATCTACAAGGCTGCTGTTATTACTATTCTGTTATATGGAGCTGAAGTGTGGAACACAACAAAGAAGCAGATGAAACGGTTTGAGGTCTTCCATCTGACCTCCCTGAGAAGAATCTTGAAGATAAAGTGGTTCTTCCATGTCTCCAATGAAGAAGTTCTCAGGCGTGCTGGAATTAAGTCTATCGAAACTTTCATCGGTGCGGCTAGACTAAGGTGGTACGGACATGTTGTCAGAATGCCAGAGACGCGGTTTCCCAATTTCTTACTGGATTGGAAACCAAACTATGGAAAGAGACTGAGAGACCCCGCAAAGGCTGGATGGCCTGTGTACTCGAGGATGCGGCTGAATTTACAGGTGTCGATAACATCAGCAGAGATGCAGTAAAACAGTTGGCTCTGAAGCGAGTGGAATGGAGGAACATGTTACGCCGTAGAAGAGATGTGTGTGATGCAGGCCACTCCAACGACTAGGAGGAGACCTCTCTTTATGTATGTATGTATGTATACCTCTATTAGATTTCAATATTCTTTTAGAAATAAGTGGTAGATTATTGTCCACTGTCCAGCACATCAAACCTCAAGTTTAACAATGCTACCTTAAAGTCACAAAAAAAGTGACAGAATTACCATTTTGTGCCTCAACAATATAAATTTAATGCAGAAAACTGGTATGGGCTACTATATTTCTTGTATTAATCAATTCCAACAATAATAAGGATGTGGATGTGAACGAAAAATTATCAAACTTTCACAACAAATTATGTGGCGACATTAACAATGCATGCCCTATTTTGAAGATCACCATACCTCTATTAGAATTCAATATAACTTTTTCATCATACAAATTTCGACAAACTGGTTATCTTCCAGCAAGGAGCAAACAGAGTTATAATATTTTTTGTGACAAAATTAGCCTATTTTTTACCATGTTGCGATGTTTCAATTATGACACTGTAAACGTATTACTACCACATAATAATTTATGTGGCTGGTGCGTGGTTGTATTAGTGTTAATTGATTAAGCATTAACAGGGGGACTGTAAACTAAATATTTATTTTCAAAATCTTTCTTTTTCTTTTTAGTAAATTATATTAATATCATAAATCAAAACCTTATGATATTGTTATTATCTTAACAGTTACTGTTGCAACTTAAGATTTTAAATTTACTTTCCTCGTATTCCTTGTATTCCTAGGGTGTTTAAGCTGGTATTTCAATATTTGCTCAATTTTGGTTTTAAAATCTTCAGACTTTATGCTGTTGCATTTAAGAAATTATATGAGGAATGTTTAGGGCACCCTGACAAGAAATGCTGAGTAGTGCAGTAGGATTACTTGATGATCTGGAAGTACTGGGAATTACGATAATATCATACAGTCGCACAAATAAGTTTACTTTGTCACAATACTCTTGATGATATCTGTGAAAATTGAGCAAATATTGAGCAAATATTGAAATACCAGCTTAAACACCCTTTATTACGTACTGGAATACAAGGAATACAAGGAATACAAGGAATACAAGGAATACAATGAATACAAGGAATACAAGGAATACAAGGAATGCAAGGAATACAAATTTAAAATTGTAAGTTACAGCAGTAACTGTTAAGATAATAACAATATCATAAGATTTTGATTTATAATATTAATATTATTTATAATGAGGTCTGATCGTCATCTTCTTACAGCGTTCGATGTCTGTGTGAAGGTAAAATGGTGATATCCTCTGGATCAGGCAGAGGTTGAGTGTTATCAGGATTATTTCTGTAGTAGTGGAACAGCAATACTAAGGTAATGGGACTACTGCGGACCCTCTACCGGCCAAACCTTGTTAACAACGCCGTAGTCAAGGTTCGGTGAACGGTAGTTAAAAGCGCTTAAGGGACATAAGTCAAATTGGTAGAGCAACATTATGTAGTGGACGTCTTAAGAAATGAGGAGTAGGTAGAATGTTAGGTTGCTCTACCAATTTGAATGTTAGGTTGCTCCTTTATAAATCGTCTTTTTCTCTGATAATAAGTTGACATCAAGTCTTGAAAATTATTCGAGAAGAATCTCGAATAATTTAGTTGCAGCGTGCCACATGGCTATCTAAACTGCAAACCCTACCCATTGCTGAGCAAGGCTTTTATCTTCTCCGACGAGCGGGATCATCAATAATGAGGTCTGATCGTCATCTTCTTACAGTAACGAAGTGAGAATTAATTAAAGTGAGAATTAGAAATAAATTAGAATTATAATTAAATTTACACAGCAATACAATAAGAATAAAAATAATTTAAAGAAGCTTCAAACCGCTGTGCAGGACATTCAAGTCAGTCAAAAACTGTTAGAAGAATACCCTTCTAGTATAGGCCGGACATAAAATCAAAACATATAATATGTAATAAGCTATAAGTTAATGAATATGGTACAGTGAGATATAACATTACACTTTGGGTATGAAGGTAACCATTAAATTTAAAATGATACGAAAATTACATAGATACCTACTTGGCACTTTTATATTTGTTGTCAGAATTATGTACAAAGAAGTATATAACCATAAAGTGAAAAATGGCAACCGGTCAGACGTAAACGGATAAAGTAGAGAGACATATGTCATACAGTTCTATACTTCTTTAATTAAATTAAAATGAGGTAGGCAGTCATAGACTTGCGGCTTAATTTGGTCAGTAAAACACAGGGGACCCTGCTACTTAACAAAAACTCCGAAACACAGAATAAAATCAAAGATCAAGTGAATAGCAATACTGCTAGAACATGCTATGTGCTGTACTTACTTACTTTACTTGCTTTAAAATGTCTTTGAATGAATTCTTTGCAAAAATGATATTTGTGCCCAGCTTTAATTTAACCAAGCAGCTGAACTTTAAGGTAGGTCATAAGCTGAGCGATAGATTTGAAAACTTAGGTGATTTGTAATTGCCAATTTACATTAGCAAGGCCCTATCATGTAATTACAGTGTATAATCAAGCACAGAAAATATTCCACTTTAAACAGTTTGATAACATAAAAAGAAACTTCAAGTAGATAATTGCAATAAAATAGTGGACAACTCTTGGTTTCAAGAGTTTCAAACAAAACGTTTATGAAATCAACCAGATATTAACAGTGAAGAAGCGAATAATGTGCGCATAGCGCTCGATTTCTATCGTCGATTCGATTTTTTCATGCGTATGACGAGTGCGCGGCGTAAAAATCGCAATCTTGATGAACGCTGAGCTAACATTGCTACACGGTGGATAAAAATTATTTACATCTTGACTAAAACATTGGTATAAAATTTTGTACAATCGGAGAAAAAAAATTCTGTGCTCGCGCTTGGCGCTTATTACACTGACTAGTGTATACGCGACACGCGTACTGCGTGACGCGCTTTTTTCACAAGTTGAATACCTTACTCGGGATTATTATGACCGGGATAAAGTGGCGGGTTTAGGGTAATTTCGCCATATTTTTCCCGAACCACATTTTCACCGGTCGTTAATAAACCCGCCGTCTCAGATTTTAGGGTTCCCAAGGGGTATGGGTGCTCATATTTTAATCGTTGTCTTATATTCACTAAAGAAGACTATTGGGACACTTGTTGTAGGTTTTTCGACTTTATTTGGCTAAAATTGCAAAAAATTCACCTTTTTGCCCAATTCTTGTCATATTGATATATCCTTATTGTCAAAGTTGATTTAAATAGGCCAATTTTTAATTTCTTAGGTATTGACTATCTCTACATAATGAAATAGGACTCAAAGTAAAAGTAACAGTTAAATTAAAACTTGAATTAATTAAAACTGTCAATAACATGAATCAGTTTCATCAGTCATTTATTCATAATTCTAAACAATGTGAACGATGCATTCTTTCGAAGATTTTCTACAAATTGAGTCATAATGGTTATTTGATACACGTAAACATTTAATGCTAATTCAAAACAACGAATTTGCTAGAGTGCTAGACTACCAACACGTTACTACCAGCAGAAAGGGGATCACAAAAAATTCCTATAAGTAACAACAATCTCACTATCAATTACATCTGAGACAAAATTTTTGAATCTAAAATTGAAAGGTCGGACACCGGTAAAATGGCGACCGGGAAAATGTGGTGGGTTTGAGCAATTTCGCCATATTTTTCCCGAACCATATTTTAACCGGTCGTTAATAAACCCGTCGTAATAATCCCGAGTAAGGTATATATATATCTTTGCCGCCTCCGGCGGTCGCGCGCTACTGGCACTGCAAGCGAGAGGGCTCTGGTTAGAGCAAGGGTTGCGGACACAATAAGAAAGTGTCTGCAGTCCGACTAACTGTGTTCAAATTTCAACCAATTTTCACTGATTGATATTACTGTGCAAGCAGTACAGAGGTCACTGATTGATCTGCTGTATGAGCAAAGCTAGAAACGAGTAAGAATGAAATCGAAACGCACATTGCAAAAATTCACTGCATTTTGCGTAGCACAAATGTAGAAATTGTTCTAGAAGCAAAGCCCAAAATCCAGCTCTCACAAGTTCGTGGCGTCGATTATATAACCGAGGTTAATGTCCAAAGTTTTTTAATGGCATAATGGCCTTTGTTCTAATCCTTGGTATAAGGGGAGTTAGCAACGGGTTTGCTTACCACAATAGAGCAGGAACCGTCCCCCTGCCTGCAATGCTCATAAATAAAGCATTGTTCTGTCATTGGTCAATGTTCATGGTATAAGTAGCTGCTTTGACTCTGTGTGTTACACAAAATCTCACACGAACCGGTGTATAACTATAACATTCGCTGACAGATTAAAAACTAACGTGAATTCACTAGCCACCGAGAGCACTGACTGGATGCCCCTTAGAAAGAATTGAGACAAAAATATAGATTTCAGGAACATTCAAAAAAGAAAGTTCCGGTTGAATATCCGGCCAAAATCTTGGAAACCGGACCGGAACCAGGACCGGATATTAAAGCCGGATATCCGGTCAGTTCCTAGCTTAGTTCAGAAAGTCAAATCTCTTTAAATAACAATGCGAAAATCGAAAATTACTGTATACGTATTAAAATTTTAATATTTATAAATTATATTTATAGTAGAATTAAATAAAGAACGTTTTCTAAAGGAAATTGGAAAAGGACGTTTTGACAATAAAAAATGACACATCTCTTAAGATGCGCAAAAGTATATTTATACGATCCGAATAAGGAATATCTCATCAGGTAGGGTCTCAAGTTCACTTTTTCACAAAACCAAATATCTTAACGAAACATCTTAACGTGACTCATATTATTTTACTGGGCCGCGCTCAGCCTGTAATTCCGCTTAATCTCTATGTTTATGAACATGATAGCCTGAGGTCCCCAGGTAAATATTATTCATCACCATAAAATTCTCAAAATTGACGTACAATGGATCAGAATTTAACAGAATAAATAGAAACAACCATTTAAACTCGTGGTCTAACATCACGTGATTTGTGGTGTTAACACCGCCTCTCAGTGTCCCTCCGCAGGATAACGGGAGCGCTGGAGCAGGGTAGTTCCGCTATCTCGGTGATCACAATGGAGACCAGGGTAGGGGGCGTGGCGTCGTAAACCAAGTTTACCAGGTTCACGTTGTGGTGGTCAGCGTCATCAGAGAGTGGGGAGGCGGCGCCCGTTTTAGTTTTTAACATGTCTTTTGGATCAGCTGAAAGGGGAGGTTAGGATTAGTTAAAGACACTGACTAAGATGATAAATTATTCTAACACTTGTAACAATCTTGAGATGCATAGAACGAAGAATAACCTAATTCTAAAGTTAACCAAACTGCAAACATTGAAAATAAACTGACGTACCGAGCTCGTTGAAGAGTATAGAGTCAGTCTGGACCCTCTCTGAGAACTTATATGTCTCACAGCACACGATGACTGGTTTATTGTACTTGTGAGCTATTAGCGCTAACATGGCCGTTCCCACTGGTCCTAGTACGTAACCGTTAGCTAACAGAGCATCAGCTGACAGCAGCACTTTAGTTATCTGAGAGAGAGAAAGAGATGTGTTATCTGTAGCGTGCAGACCAACCGCACCAGCTCCAACAGGATAAGGTCACATACTCACAGAGCCTGGTTAGATAGTATACGAAATAAGAAACAGCATTGTCAGCCTCACCAGGAACACTGAAGCAAGATCGCGATATATGTTTAATTTCACTGCTCACAATTCATTTTGATGTTTAATTTCAAGGAAAGATTGTACTTTGCGAGCATAGCTTGTTATGTAATATCGTGTTTTGGCAACCCGTCGTGATCTATAATAAGCTTAATTAAACATTTTCTCGTGTGGATTGTTCATTATTTCAGTCCTATAATGTTTGGAAAGTACTTGACAAAATATTGTTACATTTTACATAAGTTAGATTTCGAGTGAAAACAAACCAAAAACCTCCCGATAAACACAAACACCCTGACCCTCTTTACCTGATCCTTCATGACATAAGTAGCGGAATTGATGTATACGTAAGAACAGGGGATGTCGGCCTCAGTAAGCCTCTCACACGCATTGACTCCCCTCAGATCAGGCCTGTTGTCCACAACCATTACTCTAAACTTCCTGCCCTCTTTCTTTGCTGCCAGCAAAATCCGCAATATCAACTGTGACCTGAGAAAGTGGTTTGATACTCGATAGGGCAGTTTATCAAAAAAGGAATCTGATATGAGTTTCACTGTCGAACTACTGCTTAAAGGAATCGCGTATTAATCAGTTGAAATTGTTTGCCTTTTGTCCGGTTACCACAATCAAGTAGTTAATTTGAAATCAGTGAACCCTTGAACCCGAGTTTTAATATCTAAAATCTGCAAGCTTACCTGCCGTAGATAAGGATGGTGTCCCCATCATTAATTCTGTTGACTGTTGTAGTTGTGATGGCCTGGGCTGCTAGATAGATATTCTGAAAATTAACTCAATTAAATTAATAAATTGGCACAATTAAACATATTCACTTTAAACTAATATCAAATTGTGGGGTAGGACGGATAGATTATGACAGGCCAATTATAGTAAGGTTCATAGCGTGAGTTACTAGTTTGTGATACACTAAGTCTTGTGGAGGTATACGATTAGGTAACATGAGCAGTCATTAGCTGTTAGCGGTGGTGTCGAATTCAGGCTGTCACCATGGCAACCAGGGAACGAAAAGTAGTACAATGTAAATATGGCATGATGTGTCCATTTCTACAACTTATTTGCTCGATTGTTGAACTTGTAATTCGTTCTCTGAACTGTCACTCTGCATAGTTCTGCTTGGCAAACTCCCAATGAACTGTTGTAGTCAAACTCGATGAAAACGACGAAATCTATAAAGACCAGTGCAGAGTTCAGTCATGATGTGGAGTGTTCTTTGCGAAGCCAATCTTCGTAGCCATACAAAAATTAGCCCCGTCAAGCTCCAAAGCATGACCTGTGTTCTGGAATAACCGACTTCAAATGAAATAGACCTATAAGTATGATCAAAATAGTTCGAGTATTAGATCATGTTCAACAGTAGCTGTCAAGCGGTGGATCTTACATGCGGTAACTTGAGGCGCCATCAAATTATGAAAATTTAATATTTGACGTTTTTGCAACTAAAAACGTCTTGCAAATTGCTTCGGTCGTTTTCTTTTATCTTCGATGTGGTGAAAGCTATTCTAAAGCTATTTGTAATTTAAACTTTTCTCACGTTTTTGTTCCAAGTTTCGAATGATAAAAGACTTAAGAGTAAAGGACGTATCCTGGTTTGGAGGGATATTAAAGTGGGACTACACAGAATGTGAGGGCAACTCGGTAACGTTATTGGAACGTGCTGGGGATAGCTCTAAAACTGTTATTCATTACCGAGGTAAGAGGTGCTGGAGGAATGTGAGTTATGTGAGGAATGTGAGTAGTGTGAACGCTGCATCTTTTAAAAACTAGAGATGAGATGCCCGGTAGTGGGAAACTTGAATGCCGTGTGAGAATGAATAGGTCATGTACTCAACTATATTTGTTAGCTCCTTAACAAATTGTTGCAGGGAGAAAAAGGCAATGCAAGATAGTGGGTCTCAACCCGAACACGAACTATACCTTTACACTGCAACTAGACGAGAGGAGAAACCTATCACTCCACAACACCAGAAAGAGCTCTGATTCATCTCATCACAATGAGCACTTGAGCTCTACTACTTCACTTTTAAAACCTGATATACCAGAAATAAAGGTAGATGATTATGAAAATCAGAAAGAGGGCGAGTCTGAGCAGAAGATGGAGAATCTAATAAATGATGATGCCGTTAAACCGACAGAATCATCTTCGGAGGATGGGAAACATGACATAGAGAGTGGACAGAATGGCAACGGGGATGAACAAAATGACACAGAGGATGCAGACAAACAATTAGATTTACATTATGCATCACCTCCAACATCACCTGAGCAAACAATACCCGAAAATGAACCCGAATTATTAGTAACAGACAATGAAAAATCAGCAGTAGAATATGCTCCAACATCTCCAACGACTGTAGAGTTGGAAGTGACGTTCAGGACAGAAAAGTGTGGTAAGCATGACGCGCGGTTGATATCAGCTATTGAGAACCATGATATGGGAGAAGTTGTAAGGATATGTTCGCAGTCTCCTGAGGTGAGAAACTCGTGTTATTGTGGTCAATAAAATGGTGTGTTCTTTTCCTTTTACTTACACTTGATCACTTGTCAAGGCATGTACAGGTCTTTCGGCGAATTTTCTTCGTAATAATATTATGTACTACTTTGTGTAACAATTTGACATAGAAAAAGGGTAGCTACGTCATAGCTAAGCTACGAGAGTTGAATTTTGATGCATTAGGTAGTCAGCAAATGAAGAAAACTGAACCATTCCATTCGTTAAGTGTTAAGTAATTATGGGTATTGGGTCACTTCGTGTCAAAATAATTGCTGGTGGTTTCAGGTAATAAGTATTCCAGATAAGACGGGGGTCACACCGCTGATGATAGCTGCTGTTAGAGGTTACCCCAGTATTATAAGAATATTGTTAGAGGCTGGTGCTAACCTCGATCAGCTCAATCCTGGTTAGTACCTCAGTTTCTGTAAATCACGAATTAAAGTACTAAGTTTGAGCTTCTGTGGTTTATTAACATACTGACTCCATTAATTCTACAATTATCTTGCTCTTAGGTTTTTAAATACTCAGAATGAGTATGGTATTGTATTTCATAAGATATTCTGATAATTAACATGTGGATCCCAGGTGGAAAGACGGCACTAATGTTAGCAGCATATCACGGTCACTCTCACGTGATCACAACACTGATGGAACTGGGCTGTGACTGGCAGAGACTGGACAATGCTGGGTGCACTGGTCAGCTTACAACACATTAGATCAATAATGAATGTTCATTGTCCAGAGAGTTTTAAACTAATTCTACAACTATAAATAATTACATTTTGTAATAGACACTAATCCTACAGCACTGCACTACTGCGTGGAGAGAGGAAACATAGACATAGCCCAGACGCTGATAGATAGTGGAGCTGATATCAACATGCCTGATAGTCGGGGCTACACTTGTCTACTCTCCCTCTGTATTAATGATAGGTTGGTTCTCATTTCCATGGCCAATGAATCATAATATACTAATTCTATGTTGTGGTGGGCAACACAGACTTGCCGTGTTTTCCAACACTCATAATTCGTAATTGAGTATTATTAAATGAAGTAAAAATAAAATATCTTCTACTTGAAAAATAAATGTAAGAGAGATCGGTGCAGTACACGCTTAGTGTTGAAACCCAGAAAGATAACCCCACAGTGAGGACGTACGAATGGCCAAGTTTCTCCTGGACAACGGAGCTGATCCTAATCTGAATCTACAGAGAGGGGAGACAATGCTCATGGCAGCTGCTAGGTCCAATAAACCTGGCTTGGCGAGAGTTCTTATCGAATATGGAGCAAATGTCAAAACGTCAGTTTTTAATTTACTAAGATAATATTTCACTTATTAAATAATTACAGTTTTTTCTAATATTTTTGTAAACTTTTGAATACAATCTAACCTTCAGGACCTTAAAACTGCTGCTTTCACAGGAAAACAAGATACGGGTACACAGCACTAGATATGGCCAGGCCGGCATCGGAATGTTATGACGTCATTTCAGAGTGTCCCTTGGAAGAAACCGATTCAGAAAATGAAGATGACGATTTGTCCTCTTGGTTGTCGGACAGCGAGCGATGAGTTATTTGATGAAAGGCTTACCTCTTCGAAGTACCGGTCGCATTCACTGAGAAGTTCTTCCCTAGCTTTTTCGAGAGAAATTTCCGGGCTGACTTTGGAGATTGTGTGTTTGATGAACTTTACGAAGTTTTCCATTGACACTGAGAACAACCGACATACGCTCAGATAACTGCAACAGAAAAGGGTGTGAGAATTTCACCATATTGTGCCGAATCACATCAGAGCCGTGCGCAAAGAATAACAATGGATTTATTGCGGAAATATAATTTTCATCTTTCAATTCGACCCAGAGCCACTGTAGCTCAGTGGTTAGAGCACTGCTCTCGTAAAGCAGGGGTCGCGAGTTCGAATCTCGTCAGTGGCTTCGTTTTTGTAAATTTAATTGTAATTTCATACTGATTTCATTGAAAAAACTTACTTAAAACACGGTTTCAGTGCTATGTTGAGATGTTGTCGAACTTCCTTAGATTTAGGACACCTGTATTGCTGGATAAATATCTTAACTGCGCATATCAATGCAGCACATCGGCCATTACTGCCCACTATCGTTTCCTGAAACATACTCTTATTACATCCTGTATTAATCCTAGTCAAACGAATTTTTCAAGTAACTTAGTAGTTGACATCCAAACATGTATTCGAATGAACAAAAAATCTTACCCGTGCCATCTGGATACCAAGTTTGACGAAGGCTGGATGGACAGGCGAGGATGAGTAACTGAGGTAATTTCTACGTCACGACGATAAATTTGTACGTGCTTGCGCGATGAAACTGTTTCCAACGACGACGCGCGTTACATAAACGTTTTTCGCCGTATCAGTGCAAATTGAGCCCTATTGCAACAGTTCACAGATGTTTTTATCATGAAATCATACATCCTTTTCACGATACGGTTGAGATAGAACAATTACAGTTTAGGATAGAGTAATAAGATCCATCCACTTTTGCATATAATCCTTAACACTCTCAAAAACACGTACTGAGTTATGACGTACCAGGATTAAGCTTTGTGCTCCAATCTCATGTACATTGTACATATATATTTAACCTTCGGATAGCTAAGCTTTACAATGAAATTGCAAGATTGAAGATTATTTACCTTAAGGTCGATGTAGGAGGTGAATTCCTATCGTATTGTTTTAAATGAGAAAATATTCCATCTTTAGAGCTTGGGGCTTTTAACGTATCGTCCAACTACAATAAAGAAAGGTCAATCGCAAGTTTTAATGACTAAATCGGTTCGATTGAGCTGAAATTAAACATAAAAACAGAGAGCACTCAGTAGTCAGTAGCAAACCTTTTTCAGTTGTTTATTGTCAGACTGTTTCTGGACGTCTTTTTTCTCTGAAACTTGAAGGTGAAGGTAATTTTACTTATAATTTCAGTGAATCGTGAAACATTGTGTTTTCATTTTCTCTGTGCACAAAAACATCCAGCAGCCAAAATGATTTAGCGACAGCAATCATGTTAATCCCAATTTTTATCCTAAATAACTTGTCAGGCCAAATCATTATATCGTCAACAAACGTGGACAAGCCGTAACGAACCAGCTATTTTACAATTTCGTACTTGGTTTCTGTGGTGGTTTATTCTGTTCCTTCTTCTGTTGCTGCTTGGGTTGCTGTTTCTGAACGCCTCCTGGAGCCTGTGCTTCCTTCAGTTTTGCTTTTGCTGCTCGCTGTGCCTCTGTTGTGGAAAAAGCATGATAACACAATATCATAGCGTTAAAATGTAATTTTGATAATACGGTATATCATTTAAAATTTTAAGAAGTTCTTCAAAATTTCTTTAGAGAAGGGTGAGTTTTAGACAAATGTACATGTTATTATTAATGGCAATGACACAAAAAAATGGAAAGTTTGAATAATGATGGAAAATCTACTCAAAGTTTCGTGCGGCAAGACAAACAGTTCCCAAGAAAGGTTATTTCCATTTTGTGGAGCCTGCAGAGTGCAGGTGATCTGATCACGTGAAAAATTTGGCAGAGCTATAACTCTTGACGTAGCAATGCATAAGGGGAGGACATCAAAGGCGCAAGATATGATAAAATTACACTTCCTTTTTTGTCAGATTTTGTTTGAAAGCTAATAATTGAGAAATCACCGTGGATTTGAAGACTTAAACAATTCTCCATGCGATGGTTGCAGCCTGTTATTGCCAGTATCTACTTTCTTATCCATTCACAAAAAGGTAGAATTTGACATCTCACGCCATGGTAAAGAAAATTCCAGAAACATTAGCCTTACAAGACCATCCTCCTAAGATAGCAGATCTCATCATCGGATGCCTGTACCTGGCCTGTTTCACATTCGGCCTTCCCAACAACGTCTCATCTCTCTGCTTCTTCGCAAGACGGTGTGCACGGAGCCGGCGCAGCGTCACCACCTACCTCTACAGCCTCACCTCGCTCCAGGACACCATCATCTCCATCCTAGCGCTGTATAGTGGTCTCATCCTGCTGAGGGACAGAGACCCCTGGGACCCCACACTCTGCTCCGTTCATTTCATCCTCTTTGTGGTGTCGGAGAGGATGTCTGTGTGTCTGGTGGCTCTCCTGTCGATGAGCAGGACCTACACTCTTGTCTACCCAATGAGAAGGATTAAAGTTAAATCAGTGCTGATTTGGCTGGCAACAATATGGGTGCTTGTAGCATCTACCATAACGCTGCCAATTTTGCTGGGAGCAGTCAATATAGAATTTGATAAAAATACAGGCTACTGCCGTATTGAAGCTATAGACAGCATCCTGAAAAGGGCACTGGTATTGATAAATATGCTGGCGATAGCAACCCCGATTATACCGATACTGGTATCTTGTGTCATGTCGATAAAAAGGGTAAAGAAGTCACAGAGAACAAAGTTTGGCTCAATAAAACTGACAAAGAACTGCCGGAAAAAGATCAGGAAGACCAACCACCAGATGACGATGACGATAATCCTGGTAGCACTCCTGTTCGTCCTCCTGAAAACCCCCCTCCTCCTCAACTACTTCCTCTACCTCATAACTGTCCTCTTCTTCTCCTCCAACACCGAGCTCTTCTTCTCCTCCTCCTTCATGAAGTACTACTCCTGGAACATAGCCTTCATGCTCTGCACTGCTCTCAACACATGCACTAACCCAGTCATCTATATCACCCGCTTCAAGAGATACAGGAAGTGGGTAAAGAAGTTGGTGCGCTGTAAAAGACAGATTGGAGCGGAGTCCACTTTTACTGGAGCCTACTTCATGAGTAGTAGGATGTTTGAATTAGGACACACAGAGTATCGGAGTAACATTATCCATTCTACAATTGTAGAGGAAGTGCTCTGAGACAGGATTGATCATTGATGTCTTCCACTCTACCATCAAGGAAACGCTGCTATGCTGAAGGAAGGAAGGAAGCATTGTGGAAGATGTTGACTCACTTAGTTGATTCAGGAGGACGATAACGTGTGATGAACTTTACCTGATTCGCAAACAGTTAAAATGTTATAAAATACGCGGCAGCAGTACTTTTAAATTTTTGTAATTACTGTATTAATAAAGAACAAACCTTGTTTTTCTCGTCGTTCTGCTTTGAGTTGGGCTTTGGTTTTCTGAGGTTGTTGGCTGCCATTTTGTTGAAGTTGAACCTTGACGTCCGCAGGACTAACAGAACTATTTTCCATTTCAGCTAGCTTAAGAAGTTATGATATTAGTAGGAGGCTTTTGCTATTCTAACCACTACACATTACAATTGTATGTGAACATTTCACATTGAAACTTTATTAGGATGATCGTTCCTGAACTTTACTATCGTATGATTGTTTTTGAATTTTGTTATTGCTGTTATTGATTCAATTTGAGGTTTAAAAGTAATTGTTGGGCTTTAGATCAAATTCTTATTAAAAAGGATTCAAATTGGTCCCAATTAGGATTTAAACTTAGTTCACTGAATTTGGATCGGTTTTTAATTTATATTACTTGTGTGTTTATTTACTGATTCCAATTTCTCAAAAACACGAAATTCGAACTTCGTCAGTAAAACAAAGTATTTTTGAAATTCAATATAAAAAATATGGTATTGATTTATAAATGTAATCGTTTCGTTGATGAATATAATTTCAAATTAAATTGTTAAAATAAGATTAAATAAAATGTATAAGTTAAAATTACGAGGTTGGATATAAATTAAATAATGTGAATCTGATCGTTGTAAAATTAATTGAGGCTTGAAGGAAATGAGCTGATAGGAGAATTTATAAAACAAATAGGTGCATAATAAGCTCTACAAAATTAGTAATACATTTTAAATATTTACCTATTAGTGACTGGGAAGCCACTTGTATATAGCTACAAACATTCCTCCATACCATCTACCACGCTCAAATATTGAATTGTATAATTAATGTCAAATCTTATTAAAAAACAATGCTAGTAATTTAACATTATATAGTTATGCTTCGGTAAATGATACAATCTTTTCTACTAATCACTGTAGATAACTTTAAAAATTCAAGGTTATAAAAAATTATATACGGTATAATATAATTTGATAAAAACCATTGTAAAAACAAAATAATATTTGTGCAATTATTTAAAATTCACAATTATAGTTTAAAAACTAGTTAAAAATAACATCAAGGTACAAATTAATTTATCTGACGAAACACGATTTTGCCCCAGCTGTCTTTAGTAATCGAATAAACAGAATAAGTAGTAGCCACTTCCCACAAGTTTCCATTGACACAATTAACCACATTACCATCTTTAATTATACTACAATCCACAATACCAGCGCTAGATGTCACATTCCTGTCGTGTTCTTCATCTTCCTTGACGCTGGAGGGTTTTCTGTTGGAATGTTTGCGGAGGGGCTTCATGAGGTTCTCCCACGTGTTGGTCATGTGATCAAAATCAGCTGATTTGCTCGAGCTCTTTTTATTTATTTGAGAGTAGTAAACTTCAAACATAGGTTGTTGAACAGAATCCTGGCAAATAATCCCAATCAGCCGCTTACAACAGTCTTTAACATCATCAACGTTACCAACTAACGACGTTACCTCAACATACCTCTCCTCTTTCACCTCTTCTCGTTTTTGCAAGTTTATATTTAACCGGTTATAACGCTTAGTGATGTCGTACAGTTTCTTCCCTCCCGAACCAAGAAGAAAACCAGCCGCATCAGGGGAGGTGACCAATACACACTGAGCATGTGATATACGATTATTGTTATTTTCCACAAGATCTATGACTTTCATAAGGACCGGTAAGATCGACTCAACTTTGAAACCCGCTATGGAAATAATCCTGAGCTGGTCATTACCACAACTTGGAAAGTATTCCCCTTTCTTTGAAACGCATATCAAGGTGTTGGTTTCTTTTTCCAATTCATTCACTCTGCAGCCCTTGTCTCCGATAAATGATCCGCACCCGTCGTCAGGACAAAGGACTTTACATACTAGCCTGACTGGTACAGGCATATTATCTAGAATGAGAGAGAAGGTTAATTTGATGAAGGAAACAAATACTTTTCAAGGGATTACAAAATAGGACAGTGAAAATTGTGTAAGTGCAAGATTGGACAACTATCCGAATCACATTAATGAAGTTGCTGATAAGACTATGAGTATGAATAACAAGTTTTTAATCTGATGGAATCGATCAGCGATGGTGATTTTGTTTGTACAAATTTAAGGGAAAGAGGGAAACGAAAAATTTCAAGGTGTTCGAAAGTTAACTGTTTGTCAAGGAAAACAATTTTATGCAAAGTCAAATAGCGTACAATTTTAAGAAGATTCCCCTAAAACAGCTATATCGTACACGTACAAAACTAGCTCAAAAGAATGTCAGAACGACTCAATAATAAATATACCTTTAATTAGACACCATCTCAAATTACACCTACAATTAGAGTCATTAATCAGAAACGGTTTTAATTTGACACTTATAAAGGGAGGCCGAAAACTTGGCCGTTGATATCCGGGGCGATGATCTGATCATGTCAACCACTGAGTACGATGAATTATTAATTATATAACAGTAATTTGATAACATTAGACGGGTTATAAGGAGTCTCACGCTCATCATACTAATTCTACTAAATTTGATTCATTACTCAGTCAATGATTACAATGTAATAGTAATTTGTAGCAGTCTCAATAGCGTCCCCACCAGGCACCAAATATTATCATTTCTCAAGTTCCCATGAAAATAGAATTAGGTCCCCTCATCCCGTGAAAGTTGTCTAAAGTCAAAGAGTCTTCTTCAACAAAACTATCCTCTTTACAAACAGTATCATCCGAATTCTGAGAACCAGAATACTCTGACCCTACGCCTGGAGGAGAAGTCTTTAAAGTCATCTGTCCAATAATAGGACTAGATGGCAGAGTCGAAACATCCGCTGTATTTAACTCTTCAAGTTGAGAAAGTTGCTGATCTTTTGAATTCATGACTTGGCTATTAATTGGAGGGCCCAAACTATGCTTGTTTATGGTTACTTTAAGTTTATCAGCTGACATGTTTGTAGTCATCCGGTCTTCTTGCTCCTCATCCGAGTCAGATTCGAACATGGCCCAAACTCGGTCCATGTACAAAGAGTCTGCTTGTGGGGAAGTGACCGAGCTTTTAGGACCTCTTTCAGGCACTTGAACTTTCTTATCCTTCTCAGCTTTAACAACTGATGTGTCTTCTTCAGTTGTATGTTCAGAGGTTTTATTTCCGATAGAAGTTGTTGTTTCAACGGACTTCTTTACTTTTCCAATAACAAAGCTGCACGGAAGGGTCATGACATCAGCAGTATTCATCTCAGAAAGTTCCTCCTTCGTTGGTGAGTCATATCGCTCTTCTGCCGATGTTGACTTAGAAGGAGTTGTCTCCGTCAGATATTTGCCAATAACAAAACTAAATGGAACTGTTTCAACATCACTGGTATTTAGTTCCTCCAATGTTTCCTCGTTTAAACCAGATACAATCGCAGGATAATCTGAAACAGGAAACTCAGAATGTTGACTGACAGTAGAAGTGTTGGGTGCTACTACAGACGGTTTGCTGATCACTGCACTAAATGGTAAGGTGTCAACATCATGCGAGTTTAGAGATTGCTCCGTGAGATCAGAATAGAGTTTTATTTGACCGATGATTGGACTGTGAGTAATGGTCATGACATCATTTGTGTTCAGCTCGTCCAGCTGAGAATCATCATGATTAACAAGAAAGTCGGCTGGAGAACGTGGCTGATTTGGGATTGGAGAAGTTTCTAATCTTTCACCAGACTGCTTGAGAAAATAACCATCATTCTGTGAAAACAAGTTGTCACCTTTTGGAATTGTCTTGTTATCAACTGAACTTTCTACATTCGGCGAGGAATTTCCGATGTCTCTTAAAATTGATCGCTTTTTAAAGGCGGACTCTTTCTTACATGAGGATATATTTCCCGGATCACCTTTATCAAAAGAGCTGGGTTTTACGTAGGACTGAGTTGACGATAAGCCACTACTTTTCTCCTTTAACAAACACCTATAATTTTTCAGACCATCTTTTCTTAACTTCTGAGATGAAACCTGGGATAACAATTTCTCAGTTCTTCCAACAGGTTTTGAAAAGAAGTGATGTAATTTTGATTGCTTTGACGGAGGATCAACTCTGCGACGTTTGGATGACTGCCCAGACATATTCCTGAAGTGAAGGTAAATTATGTCTTTGCAGAACGGTAACGAGAAAAGAAATAAATAATATGAAATAGTAAGATGAAAACAAAGATGAAAATACAAATCAAAATTCTAACAAAATTAAACCTTTTAAAATCTATTAAAAAACAACAGCTTACAATAAACAAGTTGCAAAAATAAAGTTAAGCAGAATGAAAAATTCATTACAAAGCGTAATCCGCCTAAATTAATTAACGAATGTAAATTGAGTTTTAATACAGATTCATACGCAAATTGTAGTAGTTGTATGTAGTAATAAATTAATGACTGTAACTGAAATAAGGGCACTTTCTAAACTGCTTACACGATACTTTAATACATACGTCTTTAATAATAGACCTCCTAATTTAAAACTAATTTCAACAAATCACTGCCACCACGAAGTAATTCAACACAATAAATTACAAAAGGTAACTACACTCGGCACTCCAAAACTACACTGCTAACTGCGAAGGGCCGGGTACGGGGTAACTAAAACCTTAGTAAGGATATCCAGTTTCATACCCAGCACTGTCCAACTGCCGAGCTAACGCTCTAAAGTCAAGATATCCAGGAGATCCTACCTGACCAGCCGCAGCTTTCAAAGAACTCTTCACAATATCCTGAGACACAATCTTATAAGCAGGGACTGTTCTCTGGGTGTATCCTGCGTCTATATACGCCTGACAAACACTGTGAAACATGTACATCCTGAAGAACGCTTCTTCTATAGTCCCCCCTCCAGTGAGAAGTCCGTGATTCTTCATCAGCAGACATTTGGAAGGAGCCGCAAAGTTTTCAGCGAGCTCCAGTTTTTCTGCCTCCACCGTGACAATCCCCCTAAAAGGGTGGTATGAAACAGGTTCTATAAACACACTGTGCTGACATATCGGCACTATCTTATCAACGGAGCACGCTACTCCAACACCAGCGCGTGAGTGAATGTGCATGAGTGCGTTCAAGTCAGGTCTGTTACCATGTATTGCGGAGTGTATCACGTAGCCGGTTTGTTGGAAGCTAAAGTCGGATGTTCCTTTGTGTATAACGTTTCCAGATAGGTCTATCTTGACAAGGCTGCTGGCCGTTATCTCGCTGTAATGCATTCCTGAAATAGTATATATATACTTATAGTGCTGAGAATAGAATAAATCATCATAAAACATGGTATCGTTGACATTTCACTGTAATAACATAAGTCAATAACAAGTTACAAAAATGGTTCTATTTACCGAATGGGTTGATGAGAAGATGATCTGATTCCGGCACCCTGAGGGTGAGATGCCCGTATACCAGCTCATCCCACCCAAAGAAGTGAGTGAGTCTGTACGCTGTTGCTAATTTACACCTGGCTTCACATTCATTGTTCCCCCATAACGTGCGGAGAGTGGATGTTATGTCGTTAATCTTGAGAGGAGTACGAGTCCAAGGGAGTCTGAGCGACATCTGTGTTGTTAATGTTACGATTATAAGAAGGACTCGTTACTCCATTTGTGTAGAGTAACAGCTACACTGCTACACTCTACAGTATAAGAGTATACAATTTTAATTCAGGTATAATTTTGAAAATTATAGCTCATTTTATAAGGATTAGAACTTTGATAAAATATGATTTTATGATCCAAGCATATTTGGAGGTTAATTAAATTCAAGTTCAACCTGTGAGGAAGGAATCGTATAAAAATGCAAGAAAACGATAATTCTTTGGATATTAAATCAATGGGAATTTGTACATACAAACAGAAATCATATCCACATAATATGTCAAAATCTTTCAATCAAATTGAATATAAAACAATAAATTCAGAATTATCTTTAGAAGAGCAAGATTTATCAAGAACGGTTATTTAACCTGCTTTCCTTGAAAAAATAGGAAAATTAAATTAGGAAAACCAGCCTAAAAAAGGTCGCGTGAGACCTTAACATTTCAATTCAATCGTTCTCTGACGCAACCAAACAATAATTTATCAAGCTATCAAGAATGTAAGAAAACGGTTAACAATTATAATATCTGCATTATATATGTGTCACGTGAGAAAGTCAGGAATGTTTTCTTTACCACAGGGTTCTATCAGAGTATCTAGCAAAGAGTTGCCGTTGATAAGTTTGGTGGTTGCTATGGTAAAGGTAGCGTTGTTGGGGTGATGTTGCGCCAGGAAGCGCAGCGCGCTGACCTCTGCGTACGTGCAGCCCCCCAGAAAGTAGACTAGGGTGTGGTTATCAGAGTGTTCCAGTCGGTCCTGAGGAAAATAACATTTAATTGTGTAGTTCTTCAATCTGAGAGGTTTGTTCTGGAATAACAGTAATTTGTTCTGAAAAGAATATCTCATTTAGCTCCCATTAAAGGGAATGTAAAAATATATAATTTAAGATCCAGCCAAAATCAGCAAATTTTTGATCTGTTTTCTCATTTTGATGTTTACCAAAAAATGTATGAGATTTTAAGGTTTATTGATGAGACATTTGGAATAACTTATGCCCTTGAGGACTTCTATAGATGGGAGAATATCAGAAGAATAATTTTTTGCTTCGTTTAATTTTCCGTTCTACTCCAATTCCATTTCCATACCCGAAGAGTCCGTTTCACGGTTACAAAAGAGACTAAACAATGCTCATACTGACATTAACAAATTAGCTATACTGCGCTGTTTCATTCAATGACAGATTTCTTTATTGAAAATCTTTTCAAATAATAATATAGGATTACACAATCGGATCAATTAACAAGAAATGCGGCCGCTTTTTTTTGTGCATGGCCGCTCAATTTCCCGATCCGTGATGGCGTATTTTATCATTTTCTATACAACCTGGGTACCCCAGTTTTTACTGTTTATATGTATGCAGATAATGATATGGCGAAGTGACAGGCCGAGCGCCACCAAGTTAATATAATTCCATATTGAATTTGAAAATCGTGTATATTTTTAAAAACCATATGCTTATTGTTTATGCAACCTGACACCCGACACGGATGTGTGCAAAATAGTATAAGTAACTCAAAATAATAATAGTATGCTATCAATTAGTGCCTAGTGGGATATGTACATGGTGAAATTAACAATGTACTTGGTCAGTTCAGCGCCGCGCGCCAACAATTAGCTAATTCGGATTATTCCGCAAAATAACTTTGCGCAGGTAGTCACGTGGGCGATTACAGTGTGTGCAGGCAGGTACGGTCGCGCGCACGCTCGCAGGTACGGTCGCAAAGCTACCATATACAAAAAAAAACCTCGTTCGCTAACCCTTGTCCTTGACTCTTTTGTGCCTTCGGCACTTTGAGTCATGGATCGGGAAAAAATACATGTTGATTCTTCTCTAAAGGGTATTAATATCTGGCAGCGGCCCGGTATATATCCAAACTCAGAGATTTACAAAAGTAGCACGTGCAAAATATGGCACCGTTAAAGCAATCAATTAATATCAAACATAGATAATAGGTATTTTATAATCGAAATTATTGCTACATCAATAAAATCTATGAGATGCTTCTCTATCTATTAGTGGTTACTTTTGCACTTTCATTAATCCCACCGTTCGTTTCTATTCCTCCCCAAGATAACGATACGAAAAGTCAGAATTTTCGAAGACAAGGATTCTTCTGATTCTCCCCCAACAACTCCTTGGAAATTCTAGGACTCTTGCCAATGATGCAATGACACTCTGACGTAGTGTAACACTCCTTGTGATTAGAATGGCAGGGAAGAGGGCTGCATTGAGAAGAGGCAAGGTGATCTCCGTTATGCCAACAAGTCTGCCGATTTCCATTAAGGTGAAGGGAGAAGTCATATCGTGAAGGACAAACTCATAAATACAATATAAAGTTAAGATAACTGTAACAGCGAAGTTACAGACGAAGGAAGAAGAGGCAAGGAGGAGCACTGTAACAGAGACATGTCTCGCATTTGAGGCAAGGGATCTATAATCGTGCTTATTGGCGGTTTTTCTCAGATTTATACCCAAGGAAATAGCTGAAATCATGAAAACAAGCGGTGGGAGAACATTGTACAGTAGAAAAATTATGAATAAAATGGGGGTTTCAATATGTCGGTTAACATATGGAAAACAAACGTCAGCCTTAAAACCAAAACACCCCAGAGCAGCCACACTTGCTGCTCCAGGGAAATTAACAACCATCACTATAAACTCATGGAAACTATTAATACGCAGATAAGTGTTGGACAGATCTAAATACAAGAGAGTGACACCATCACAGATGCAAACAACACAACTCATAATAGTGAAGACTGCTACAAAAAGTCTAATCTTCCTGAACTGAATTCTCCTGAATGGGTTTGACAAGTTTACGGACATGACGGTGCTCAGCACGGCGTTGTACACTTTAGAACATGTTTGGGCAAGTCCGGCTGTAGCTATGTAGTAGTACAGGCTGTAGTACAAGAACTGGATATCCATTTTGTAGTCCGAGACAAGTATCCCAGCTACAGATAACACTATACCACCCTGTGCTGCTACTATATCTGCGATAGCAATGGCGATGTACATGGACGCTGAGAATCTAGCTCTTTGTTTAATGTAGCAGCTGATGACGAGAGAGTTCTGGAGAATTATTATAACTGATAAGATAAGGTCTATTGAACTGAGTTTATAACCAAGAACTCCTTGGTAGAATTGAAAAACCGAAGAATCCGAAAATGTGCGACTTTTTGCAGTGAACGTTTGCGACATGTTGCTGTGGTGTATATAAGTTGTTTAGTTGTTAAGTAGGACACGGTTTACTACTGTTAAAATATTCTAAAATTCTCCAAAACACGAAGCAAACAACAAAATCAACAGATTATCCCCTCAAATTCTCACTAGATGGCATGGCAACGTTATTACGCTCAACATAAGGCAGTAAATATTCTGGTTTATGAAACATGACTCTCCTTAAGTTAGAAGTTCATTACATCAAGGCCTGGCTCAAAGGCATAAGTTAAGATGAAGATGCGACCCTAATACCGCTAGCATTGCATTATTCACAACCATTCCACAAATAATAACAGGAATCACATTTCTTTTATACGTCATTAACGGCAATTTTAAACTATACATCACCCAATCCTATAACCTAACACGAAACCTCGCTTGAAACACAATCTTGTTAGTGTAACTGGGGCCTATTTTACTTTGCTGTGTTATTAAGTGCATTTAATTTGCCATATTTTTAATCTTTCAGTCACGTAAGAAAGAAAAAAGGAAACTAAGCTACAATTTCAAATAATACCTGAGTGGTACTGAGCTTCTGATGGTCATTAAAAGCGGGTCCAGGGAGGTGTTTAACCATGTCAGCCAGATACTTCAAACCAGAGCGCTGTGTCATCCAGTTAACGAGGCGTACTGTCAGGGGAGCGTACCCGCTGTGCACGTACGCTATATCACTGGGTTCTCGCTGGTGGTAATTCTGTTACTGTTAGCTACATAAAGTACATTGTATATTGTATAAGTGTACATTGTATAAGTGTATATTGTCCTGATAGAAAGTTGTTGTGATGATGGTATTTGTTATTTTGAAATGTTCAATTTTGGGCAACACGTGACAGCAATTAAGTAATAAGTTCAAAACTAAATGGACCAAAATCAGAGGGCAACTTAGTTTGAAGTGCAAAGGTTCAATAATTAACCATTAAAATACATATTTGTGTTTACCTCGTTAACGTTACTGACAGTAAGGTTTAGTGTTGATCTCAGTATCGGGTATGACTTTTTGGGCGTTTTTTCTTGCATATACATCAGTCCACACTTCTCCAGCCTGAAAAAAAGGAGGGTTATTTTCATTTTTCAATTATTTCAAGATACGCTTTTTGGTTTCAAATTTCTCACAAGGGGATATTAAAACGAAGGAATATTCTAGAATCTCACCTGTCAAAAGTTATCAGATGATGGTACCCGTAGGACTGTATTATCTCACGTTTGTAAAATTCTGAAACACAGCAATTAATAAAACAGAGTTGAGAAGTTTATAATAATTTAATAAGCGATGATTTCAGGAACAGATGATGATAGATAGATGTTAAAAATCTCACCTAAAACTTTAGGTTTTAGACCATCCGCAGCGATACACTGAATACAGAGTAACCTGAGCACTTTCTTCAGAGGCTCCTGCTTGTATATCATCTCCTGTGGTGACATTGTACACTGTACAGTGTATTGTACTATGTACATTGTACATGAGTGTACAATGTACACTCATGAGTATTTATACTCGATTTTACAGAGTTAAAATGTGAATAAATTCTAAATGCCGAACGAGAGAAGATGTTCAATTATGTTAATGATATCGATCATATTTAGAAATAATTCCGAAGCTATGATTCAAATGTTTTTTACCTCTATGTCCTCGTTCACCCTATCAACTTCGATTCCTTCTCTGAGAACTTGTTCTATTCCCAGAGTGTGGCGGAAATCTCTGTTATCTATCTTGTTTTTTACCTGCAAAAAATACTATTGATGATAAATTAGTTCAATGTTTATTCCAAAAAAAGTAATGACAATTGTGAGTGATCAAACCATGCCAAGATGTATTCGTCATGTTCATAAGTGTACGAAGAGCTGCTAGAGAAAACGGACAGTACTTACCAATCCAGCGATAGCAGTCTGTATTTCTAGAGATTTTCGTTCCGCCTGCATGTGAGGTAACTTACTGACAAACTGCTTTAGCTGTTGTAGAGACTTCGCATCGTTCTTTTCGTTATAGGCAGCACTGATTTGCTTTGCCTGAAATATACCTATATAGCAGCTAATAATAATACAAAGCACGATGAAAATATATACTCCTTTATAAATCAAGCACAGCCTTAAAAGCCAATTTTTAGATGTTGTAACAAAATACTGTTATGTCCAAAATTCAAACCTTTTTACCCAAGAAAGGACCTAAAGCATTAAAGTTCACATCTCTTGCAACATTGTAGATGGTATCATTGGAATTGAGGAGAATCTGTTTTGGCTTTATCTCGGACTCCTGTTGAGCTTGTTCCTCTTCAGACAGGAATGATTTACCCGGAAATGTGGCTGCATTGTTTTTGATACCAAACAGCTCATCAATAAGTCCTTCATATGTGAGTTGGGTGGAGAGAGGTGTAATCAGATCAACTCTTCTATCTATTAGTACTAAATTCTCTATTCGGGGAGTCAGTGGCTTCTCGTGCGCTGATCCTTCCTTACGCATCCTCTGGATCATTTTATTAACCTGGTAAAAAAAGTGGTAAGTATTTTGGGATGTTAAGAAAATCGTGGCCTCCCTGGCCTGGTTAAACATTGATCGATTAACGTTCACAACCATCTTATTGTAAATGATTAATATTTAATATAAAACTGCACTTACTTTAGCAGCACTCGGTCCAATTCCAATGATGTTTGGAAAAAATCCAAAGTATGACTGCAATGACATGAGTGATCTTGAAACTTGGTACAGACAACTGTCATCCAGCTCAGTACACATTTCTTTGAATCCAAGGGGATGCTCCAGAGTCAACAGATCATGATCAAACGGAATCAAATCCAGTTCTAGTTCCAGAATGTTCTTAAATTCGCCAATAATATTGTATTTTTCCAGTCGCTGAGTACACATTGTTGATTTTCTTGACACGAAAATGATATGGAAATCTATTTTGTCTCTCTGTGCAACTGACACAGAACGAATAGCTTTGTGAATCATATCAATCATAGGAAGGTTAGGCCTGAAAGAAAATCAATGAATTACAAACCAGAACATAATCATGGATATTTTTTGATGCGATAAAAACCGTCTATCAAGAAGTACTTTCTAGTAATATATAATTTAACAAATAGTTACAGATTAGTCAAAAGGTTTCTAAACCGAATTCTGATTGTGTTTTATTTGTCCTAATTGCTCACCTTATCAACATTATAACACTCTGCCACTTATTTTCAATTACTTCGTCTGGTATGTATTCTTGGAGCTCAAACATTTTCTTCACACCATGCTGCTTCAGAACTGCCCAATCTATTATCAAATTGAATGGTCCCTTTAATTTTGGATCCCAGAATATTGCCTGAAAATAAAACTCTTCAATTAAAAAAGTGGTCCAGAGATTCGATAAGCCCCTTCTGGAATCTGATTAATAAATTACTCTTGTGTGACCAGACTAAAACAGTGCTCATCTATCTCTATCCGTACAGCCTAAGTATGAACATGCAAGCTTTCTTTATTTTGTTAGTCGGCCGACATCTTGGGTTGTACTGGACCTAACAAGTTTATTATCGGATGTCTACTTATATTTATTATGATATCATTATTCATTGTAATGGCAATCAAATTTAAATTTTGTTTTACTTAAAATTTTGTTTTACTTATTCACAAGTGTTCAAGTCTACCAATGTATTATTCTGATAATTATCATAAATACCAACTTACTTTGGTGCCATCACAAAGCTTGAGATGGTCCAGAAGGTCACCTCTTGCCAGATCCTTTATAAAGGAGAGTTTAATGCCATCTGTTGGATAGTCACCCATCCTGTTAAGCAAAATAATTGTACAGAATAAGTTCAGACAAATCAAACTGTTTAGTGCAATTCTTTGACCACCATAAGAATAATACCTGATTTTATTTCGGGTGGCCAATGGTCAATGGCCATTGGTGATTTAAAGAATGGATCAATTGTTTGTATAATCATGAATCACACAATCGATTTAATTGTGTCCAGTTATATTAAAATAAAAAGTAAACAATTGATATACATTCATGACAAAGTCTCTTGTAGAAGAACAATATATGTAAACAGTTCCAGGTACCAGAGATTTTAAATTGGATCATGCTGCTAAATAATAATAAATAATAAATACAACATTTATAAACCGCCTTATAGCTAAATCATATAACTCGATATAATTTAATCCTGGAGATAAACTCCAGTGCTTTCTAAAGCGGCTCTTACATTAACTGAGCTTAGTTTAATTGAAAATTAGACATGACAAGTTCATTTTACCTATGTAAATGCAAAATCAATCAAATGCTAGAGAAAAGAAGTATGTTTTAAGTTTGGTCTTGAAAGATGTAACTGACTCAGCTGATCTTATGTCGTATGGCAAGGAATTAAATACTTTAACTGCACAGTGACTAAAAGCTTTCTCTGTGTTTACATAGTTAGGAGAGGGCGGAAAACTAAGGTAAAAATAATCATTATCAAGACGTACATTTTTAAAACTTTGCTGCCTAGGAGATATCAACTCTTTTAAGTAAGGAGGAGCTATATTATTTAAACACTTGTAGGCAAGTAGGGCAATCTTAAAATCTATTCTAAATCTAACTGGTAGAAAATGAACTTTCTTAAGTAGTGGAGTAGTGTGTGCCTTTCTTCCTCTCCCGAAAATAAATCTTACAGCAGAATTTTGCACCTTCTGTAAACGACTTAAATCATAAGAGCTCAGTCCAAAATATACGCTATTGCAATAATCAATTTCAGAGAGTACTAGAGCATGAACAAGCTGAATCTTAAGGTTAAAAGACAGTTTTGATGCAATAAACCACAAATTTCTGATCTGAATATTACATGCTTGAACCACTGACGTAATCTGATCACTCATTGAAAGATAACTGTCCAAATACAGCCCAAGACTCTTCACAGTTCCACTAACAACATGTGGCTCTTGATGCTTAACGATCTGTAGAGAGGCTGGAATATTTTTTGAGTCAAATTTAGAGGATATAACGATGACTTCAGTCTTAGAAGAATTCAGTTGAAGGAAATTGTTTGTCATCCATTTCTTGATATCAGACATACAGTGTTCCATATTGTGCTCTAGCTGTGATGGGTCATCAGAATCAAGTGTGAAATACAGCTGGGTGTCATCAGCATACAAATGAATACAGCACCCATGCATACTTGCAATGTTCTCAAGATCTTTGGTGTACAATATGAATAGCAGGGGGCCAAGGATTGAACCTTGTGGTACACCTATCTCAAGAACAGTTGCTGAGGAAGACGAATCCTTGACTTTGACACAAAATGAACGGTTAGCCAAGTAGGACCTGATCCATGTAAGAGCAATGCCTGTAATGCCATAAGCAGATCTTAGCTTCTTGATTAATCTTGGGTGATTGACAGTATCAAAGGCAGCACTCAAATCTAGAAGTAAAAGAACAACTTTAGTTTTCTTGTCAATAGTTAAATAGCATTTAATTTACCACACAGAGTCTCAACTTTATCCAAGCAAACAACCCTTCTTTTGCCATTTGGCAATGGATTATTAAAAAGTGTGCCATAATCACCATCATAGCTATACACACTACATGAGGAATGCACTTCCTTGAAGCCAATTTCTTTTAATGTGGCTATATTCGACTCATTAACGCCCCCTCCAGGCAAAATTGTGATTCCAACCTCCTCGGATTGGATAAACAATATTTTGAGTTCATCAAAACTAGAAGAGACATCAGGACCACCACCAGTGGTCAAAATCCTCGAAAATCCAATTTGTTTTACAGTTCGAAGAGTACCAGAATCAATTGGAATAAAATCGAATGCACGATGAAGAGTGCATGGATAATCTTTTGAAAGAGATTTTATTAACAGTTCACACGAGTTTGTGTCTAAAGCTTTGTTACGATCTAGAAATCCAAAGACAAAGCCATCCGCACCATGTTTAGAAAGTTCTTGAGCATCAGAAATCATGGTTGAAATCTCATATGAATTGTAAAAGAAATCACCCGAACGGCATCGAATCATACAAAATACTGGGATTCGAACATGCTTTTTTACTTCTTGAAGGAGTCCAGCCGATGGTGTTAAACCACCAAGTTCTAAGACAGAACACAATTCTATGCGCTTGGCTCCACCCTTTTCAGCCAGAATAGCAGATTCAGCACTGTCGACACAAACTTCTAATATTAACATGACTGGATTGTGGTATCAGGAGTATTAGTTTTGGTCTGTATCTGAGAATACTGGAATCAATCAAAGTATTATAAATAGCACTATTGATTATAATAATTTATATTTATTGTTTAGTATATATCCTGTCATCACTCCTGGAGTAATGGATATTATATGTTTATTTCAATAAATATGATAATCAATAAATTAGAATAGAATCTAGTCTTCTTTTCAGCTCACTCTTCTGCAACCTATTGTTTAGTAAGGTAATTATTTAAAAAATTATTTTTTTCTCTAATTCTCTAAATTCTGAAATATTAGATATGGCATATGGGGTCGTTCACATATTACGTAATCAGCCGGAGGGGGGAAAGGGTGGTTTCAAAATATAAATTCAGCAATGGTAATTGTCTGACCATAAGGTTAGACACATAAAAGTAAACTTCTGTCAATTAATAAATAAAAACAGTATGAAATTTTAAAATGATCACGCTAGTATAATTTTAACACAATAACTATATGTGTAAAACTAATTACGGAGAGCCGGGGGATGGGAGTTAAACATTTTTCAAAAAGTGAAAGACCCCGTATGAATCGAACCTAGATTTCCTGAAAATTTCGTAAAATTTCATCAATTGCAGTGGGTGTGTCACGCTACTCCCTTTTTTCTATTTTCATCATTCTTTGTAGGTTTATAACCTACCAGGACGCGCGCCGAGTTGGACTCGTCGACGGTCCTGGAACATATATTTTACGAGTATCACCCGTTAAATCATTCCGAGATCTCATTCTTTAATTGACTGATAATGCAAAAGGTTTTTTACTTGTTTGGTCTGTGCCAAAATGCAAAAGAGCTCATCACTAATACTTGTAGCGCGATGCGTTACTGGGCCTCGCCGCTCACTCAATTATTCTTCTCGCTAGATCGGCGAGATGCGCTACTGGGCCTTGCTAAGTTGTAGCGCGATGCACTACTGGGCCGCGCCGAACATCCAATAATGCTTCTCGCAACCATGCGGCGAGATGCGAAAGATTGATATTGTAAATCAACCCGCCGAGCTGGAATGAATTGACATGTCAATTCATGACACCGTCAATTAACAATAATAGAAATACTAGTAAAAGAATTTATAATTTTAGCTTAGTATTTTAAGTTTACATAGCTATTTATGTGTTTACGTTCCTGCAAGCGAGAGGCCGGCTTTAGTTAGAGTAATATTTTAAAGTATTGATCGACTGATGCCATGTGTTAATTGACGATGTCAATTCTTTGCAACTTTGTAGGTCTATAACCTATCAGGACGCGCGCCGAGTTGGACTCGTCGACAGTCCTGTATGGAACAAATATTTATATTTTACGAGTATCACCGTTAATCGCAACTCGGCAAGGCCGCAGTAGCGCATTTTGCCGATCTAATTCATTATTGGATGCGCGGCGCGGTCCAGTAACGCATCGGCCCAGTTAGTATCGCATTGAGCTACAAGCCAAGTGTAGTTTAACGGCCGGTGATACTTATTGCTTATAAAATACTTGTTCCAACAGAATCACCGTCGACGAGTCTAACTCGACGCGCGTCCTGGTATAGGTTATAAACATACAAGGTGTAATTTACATAACCATGAATGTTTGCGTACTATATACTTGACGCGCTCGTTTCACAGCATAACTGCATAAGCGCGAGGGCTCTGAACTATGGTTAAACTTATTAAAGCAATTCGACTTGCTCTAACCAGAGCCCTCTCGCTTGCAGTTGGGCGCTCGACCGCAGTACGCGTATACACATGGCTATGTGAACAATTCGACATACATTGTTCTGCATCGCGTTCAGTACCTAATCATGTATACTTTCGCCGCACACCACTGCGGGCGCGCGCTATTACAAGAGAGCCTAGAGACTGAGAGCCGAGAGGGCTTTAATTAAAACTCTAGAAACTATACCGGCTGGGGCCTAACTTCGAAAGTAAAAGAAATAAAGACTTCCGATCGCGGTCGCGGTTTTTTGAAAACTGTTCGCTTGTAAAAATAACGTTTTTCTCCAAAAAAGTCTCATTTTGCGGGCCGATCGAAAATTATATTATTGCAACTTTAACTAAAACTTTGCGGATTCCTGCACTTTTGACTTTGATTGGCTCCTCCTCCTCCTCCTCCTCCTCCTCCTCCTCCTCCTCCTCCTCCTCCTCCTCCTCCTCCTCCTCCTCCTCCTCCTCCTCCTCCTCCTCCTCCTCCTCCTCCTCCTCCTCCTCCTCCTCCTCCTCCTCCTCCTCCTCCTCCTCCTCCTCCTCCTCCTCCTCCTCCTCCTCCTCCTCCTCCTCCTCCTCCTCCTCCTCCTCCTCCTCCTCCTCCTCCTCCTCCTCCTCCTCCTCCTCCTCCTCCTCCTCCTCCTCCTCCTCCTCCTCCTCCTCCTCCTCCTCCTCCTCCTCCTCCTCCTCCTCCTCCTCCTCCTCCTCCTCCTCCTCCTCCTCCTCCTCCTCCTCCTCCTCCTCCTCCTCCTCCTCCTCCTCCTCCTCCTCCTCCTCCTCCTCCTCCTCCTCCTCCTCCTCCTCCTCCTCCTCCTCCTCCTCCTCCTCCTCCTCCTCCTCCTCCTCCTCCTCCTCCTCCTCCTCCTCCTCCTCCTCCTCCTCCTCCTCCTCCTCCTCCTC